ACGCCGGTGGTATCCGCGTGTGTTGCGTGCGGTGTGTGTGTGTGTGTGTGTGTGTGTGTGTGTGTGTGTGTGTGTGTGAAAAATAATAAAACCTAACGATAATCCATTGAACGCTAACTAAAGTGGATTAGTTTAACGGAACTAATATATTAAAGTAAATTATGATATTAATTTATGCGTTGACGTAAGCGCGCGTCTATTGTCTAAGTGTCGGTCCACAATAGGTGACTTAAGCTTTAAGACGTAAGAAATTGACTAATTATAATCTAATATGAAAAGAATAATCGACTATGATTGGTCAATTTCTTACAACTTAAAGATTAAATACTTATTGTGGACCGACACTAATTTAATTATGCTCGAGCTAGATTAAGATTTTAAATCTGACATCCTCTGAGAGAGATGTCACGTGGCTTAAGCAATTTGATTGTCAAGCGTTAGCATTACGAAGGCACGTGCTTTAAGGTACTTGAAACTGTCAAGTCCAATGTCCACGTGCAAACACGATCGCTTTACGGATCTGTGTTTCGTCAATTGTACTTCCTAAAGGAAAAACGTTCGTTTCGAGCGGAAGGAACATTCGCGGCATTTTTGGCTTTCCGCCGAGACGAGACTCGCGACGGGGACGATCCCGGTGAAAAATCCCGGTGCGTCGATCGCAACGACACGCGGAACGACACATCCTCGCCTAATTAGAATATAGCTGTTTTTTATGAGCGTGGAAGAGGAAGAGGGAGCCGAGAGATGGGTGGCGGTGGTGGGAAGGGAGGAGCAAGGAAACACGCACCATCGCGATATTTATTATACGGACCCCCTGCCGGACATTCGTATTTAACGGGTTGCACCAATGGCCACCCGTTCACCCTCCTTCTTCTGCGTACCTCGGAGAAGAATACCTTGCTGCTCTTCTTGCAGGATCTCCCATAAATCTCCGTTGATCCGGAAAAATTCTTGCCTAACTCACGTCTGCTAGAGAGACTCAAGATTGAGATCGAATCAAGTCACCTCATCGCGATTTTGAAGAACTTTGCTTTTGTGCAATTGAAGGCAATTAATAGTTGAAAAATAATTAATACAAATCAATATTTTTCAGATATTGATATCAATTCTTTTAATTTTAAACAATTTTGTGCAGACATATGTAAGCTTTATATCAACTGTAACATAAAAGGAT